TCAGAAAGTCACTGTCAACATACTCGCGCGTTATTAACAGCTACCACGAATTTTAACTCAAGCACAAACGTGTTCCAGTATAACTTGTTATGTAGAAATTCAACTGGAACAATATGTTTTCATGATAGGAAGCCCTGCATTAAGGACATCCGCAGTTACATGATTAGTCAAAATAGGACTAGTTCGAGTAGGGATGAGTAACGGATTTTGACTTTTTCAACATTTTCGTATGTGATAACTAACTAAAGTAGTTTTTAGCAAGAAATAATGGCAATCTGCGACATCTGTCAACAAAGTGATTGGATCAAAAAAAATTTAACGTTCATTTCGACAATTCTTTCGATTTTCTACTGTAATTCGATTATTTTTTAGGGAGTAACTTTTTAAAATGACGTCTGTTTGTTGTTTGCTTGCAGTATGGAAAAGATTATTGTCTGTAGAACCAGAAAATGCGGAACGGAAATCAAACCGTAAAAAGCTGTGTGCGACGACTCAACAGATAATAATATACCGGTGACAGTCACCCTCCATCCAGTTAGCTAAAAGGCTGGAGTCCTTGTAATCTCATGAAGGAAATAAACATGCCACGAACTCCGGGCAGTCTGTAGCCTGCGTATTATATGTTTTAGAGATTCCCAGACATGCCTCTTGGTGACAGGTATATTGCTGGAGAATGACTATATTTCTCGGACCATAAGAGCTAGAGATTCAGGACTTGTATATTTAAATAACAATATATGACCTATATACTGGCCATGCTTTAGTGTAAAATTCGTTGTTTTTCCGGGGAATGACAATCTTTTAGATTTTCCTTCGCAAGATGCACCGTGATAGACATTCTCGTGAAACCCAATTTTTTCATAGATTTATTTCCCACTATCTTCTCTGTCGATTGCTGAAAACCGCACGGAATTATTTTGCATTAAAAAGTTATTCAAAAAATGCCGGCGGCTATTCTATTTTGAAATGGATAGTAATATCTGACGGCACATTTGTACGGGGTAGCTAATCGTGTTATTAATGAAGTAACTATGTGTTTAACACAAAAAATAGAACTATCGGGAAATTTTAAAAATATCCATCCGAAGAAACAAAAGTGTTTTTGCGGAAGTCAGCTGGAGAGCAGGAGTGCGAGTGTTAGACAAACGCAAACACAGGGGCCGTGATAAAAAACACATGCGTTCTTGCGGAAGTCTTTTATTTACAATTTCTAATGATTATTTTTGTTTGTGTGATCCAAACAATCGTGCAGAATGTTTCCGTTTTGACAAAATGGCTGATCAGTGTGACCATTGTCTCTACGGTGGACGATGTTTACAGGGTGATTTACAAGATCGAACAAATTATTTCTGTCATTGTCCTCAGTGCTTTTATGGCTCAATTTGTCAGCATAATACACGATTGTTATCGTTTACATTAGAATCTCTATTGACCGGCGATCTATTCTCATCATCTGCACGAATAGAACAATTATCATTCGTCGTTTATCTACTAATACCCATTATTTTGTTTTTAATTGGTTTCATCAATAATCTATTATGTATCGTGACATTTATTCGACCAAAGCCGCGTCAAGTTGGAGCAGGCTATTATTTATTAGTAAATAGTATAACGAGTCAGTTGTCGTTGTTTCTACTCGTTCTCAAAATCGCTCATGTTTTACTCAGCACCAAGGGTCTCATTATGGATGATATAGCGAATATCGTCATATGTAAGTCGATTACATTTCTACTGTCGTGTTCTACACGAACAAATTACTGGCTAACTGGATTGACTACGCTTGAGCGTGTTTACGTCACCAAATATCCGACTGGTCTATGGTTGAAAAATCCAAAAATCGCTAAACGATTGATTATAATCATATTCATCGGTACATTCGGTTCCCATGTACACGAAGTTTTATATCATACTGTTGTACCCGATCCAAAATATAGTCAATACGGTGAGAGAGAATAATATAACATATGGCTATTCTCTAAAAACAGATTCACTGAAAGTAGAGATTAAAAAGAGCTTTTATTTTGCTCCTTTAATTCTTGCGAAATCATATGCATCCAAAAGGTTTTTCATGTTTCCTAAACGTTCATTTTTTCTTCGTAAACCAAAAAAGGTTTATAAAAAATATTTATTTGCTGCAACAGCCTTTACTATGAAGCATAATTTTCCTAGAACATAACCTACAATTGAGAAGATAGTATACGCGTCGTTTCAAGTTCTATCAGATGAGATTAAGGGTTCCGTGCCATTTTTGCGACGATCAAGACACAGTGGGCATTTTTCTATAGAGTAGGCGGACATATGCTGTAGGAGTGGTATGAAAGCCTATAAACACGTTCTTCTATAGGTTTTCGCATATGCTCTTTCTAATGATGAGATTTTCAGTACTCAAAAGTAATTCCTTGTGGGTTTTATGGAGACCGGATCTCTGAAAAACCCATAAAAAATATTTTTGCATTTCGAGAACCTCACTATTCGAAAGATCATATTCGAAAACCTATAGAAGAACGTGTTTATAGACTTGTGTACTATTGCTAAAATAAATATTTAAATTTCTAAGCAAAATTTGCTGCGGACAAGCGTTCAAGTCTATAATTCAATTTGATCGAAAATATTTCTGCAGAAAAATTAAAAAGCTATACATCATTCGATGCAGTTTTTCACGCTGATTCCAAATCTGGGCTTGTTTGTACGAAAAAGTGCTTTCTTCACGAATAAATCTCTCAAATACCCGAAAACCACTAGGATTTTGGAAAATTCATAAAACCGTCGGGAAAGAGTTGCGAGATTTTGCGAGATTAGCATAAATAGCGTAGTGTCTGAGGAACATTTTGATGTATTTGTATATTGTTTTTGAGGGTGGCTAAGGATGGC